ATCGCTCTTAGGTTGGAGGCCATCGCTTCTAGTTGGAGGCCATTGCTATTAGAATCCTTCGATGAACACATATTCTGTTCATCTTGGGTGCCTTTCATCATCGCATCATCTGAAGGATCGCACCCTGCAAGTCTGTTTTGGCCATCCATCTACCAACACTGTTTGAAAGATCGAGGAGAAGCACAAAGACTACTAGCAGCTGCTCACTCACGTATATCCTCACCTGGTTCCATCCACTTTGGCTCCAATCCAAAAGGGAACAAAGGAACAAAGAATTCATGTCAACATAAGTCAACAACCAACCCAGGGGGAACTTCCCCAAACTTGTCCAACCTTCAATTTTGGAATGACCATCTGAGTGCTCGCCACCGCAAATCCTGGATGGCGACCTCCTCTCTGAAACTCACCACAGTAAGACGAAACCCGCCCGCCGGAGCCCTGCGGAACCCTGCGGAGCCCTGTTGACAACGCTGTCCCGGTTGAAGAGCTCGTAGCGAATCTGCATGAGCCCTGCGAGCACCAGCAGTCGCATCCAGACCTGCTTTGAAAGAAAAGGGGCCACAAGCCAAAAGAGGTGGAGGGAGATACATGTTTCCGTGTAGCCTTTCTTAGGGTTGTTGGCAAACGAACTCATTTCTGTAAGATTGGAAGGAAAATACACAAAGTCATTAAAGTACATTAGGTTCAAAAACCAGAACGGCATGTAAAGTTAAAACATTGGAAATAGTGCTTCAACACCAACAACAGTAACCCAGTGCAAAGGTAATGATACATCCAAATGAAATGGTAGCTCCAGATAGAATAACATTGAAAATAGATGTTAAAAGGAAAAAATGAAAATACTCATTCCATCTAATTCCTGGAGTCCTGGAGATACAGAATGTCCCAGGAAAACCACAAAGCGGATAGCAAAGATTTAACACGCAAATATATATATATATATATAACTCACTGAAACAAGTAAGATAAGTAACATACGCAAACAAAATCATAAATGAAGGGTCTACATGACCAACACGGCCAATATGGGGAAACAACATCTCACCAATCTCATCCCCTGTTGCGGGCCTCAGTGATGCGGAAGGCCAAGTGCAAAGGCTTGAAAAGCCGCTGGACGCAGATCGGCCACTGGCCCTCCTCGAGTCGGTCGAGGTCGATCGGGGTGTTTCGTGGGCGCAAGTTCCTGTGGGGTCGGAGGTGTTGGGGCCTTACTACTAGGAGCAAGGGCATCGCTACTAGGGGCTCTTGGCATCGCTACTAGGAGCATTCTTACTACGAACAAGAAGCTACTATTAGACCCTCAAAACTGGGGTCGGAATCCGATTCTTTGGATCTCACGAGATGCGTGGTGGAACCGGCCTGGGCGCTGTGAGACTGATAGCGCCTCACCACGTAGGAGGACACCGACACATCGATGTCCACCATCCTTGGCGAGGGAGGCAAGCAGACCCGGCTGAAGCTGAAGCACTGCGGCACTAGTCCGAGGTGTTCACGATGTTTCATCCCAGTCAAACCCGCTTCGACGGTTCCCGACCTCCATTCCGAAGCCAGTGGTAAGAGCGGATGCCGCTTTGCCTATAAAGAGAAGGGTTTAGGGTTCTGCCTTCATTCCACTGTTCCTTCTTTGTCAACTAAATTTTACCGAGATACAGGTGGTCCCAAACATCCTTATTGCAAGAAACTTCAACCATTCTGGGTTCCTACCACCCGTGACAATCCTAATGAGCAGTTGCTTTGACCCTTTGCACCATTGGGGCTCATCAAGACAGACCTGACCCTGATCATCTCCAAAGCTGAAAACTGAGGATGATGCTGACCCGCAACAATAACAAAACCAAACAATCATGACGATGTCAACAGCAGCAGAGTACTACAGCCTCATGTCAACTTACCCGTTCTTGCCGCTTGCACAACATGTTCTTAAAGGCTGATTGAGAAATTTGAGAAGGGAAAATACAAAGGGGGGTCATTTGGCGCAACTGTCCACCGCAACTGACGCAACTGTCCACCAAGTGCACTGCGAGGATCCCCAAACTCACATTCACCAGCAAGACCACGGCGGTGCACCACCAGAAGAGAGGCCATCCATCTGATCTTTCCACGTACCTCTCGATATCTAGGGTCTAGGGCACATGTTCTGAAGAGCCCCCAAGCAGCCGTGCTTGGCAGGTGAAAAACATGAAAAGCGAGAATTCCTTGCCTCTTCACTCCGTGCAGAGCTGAAAAAAACATGGGGATGACTGGGGGTGGGATTTGACTTCAGAAGACTTCGGCCAACGACCAAAGGGAGCGCAACTACAGTGGGTCTATGCAAATTCCACAATCTTACCATGAATGAGAGGGAGTGACAGGGACCTTCAATCTGAGAATCACTGGTGGGAACGAAACAAATCTGAGCGCGTATATCTAACTGAACTTCCTGGGTTGGACCCCACTTCACTAGCAGTCGCTAGCAACTTCTACAAACTAACCCTTCCCTATCAACCATTGCCCTTCCCTGCCCTTGCCTGCCCTTCTTCATCTTCTCGCTATTAGGTGACCATCGCTCTTGGGTTGGAGGCCATCTCACAACTCACTTTTCTCCTCGATCCTCACCGAGGTTCCGGCTTCTCCAACGCTCGGGCTGCTGCTCCCTCCACTCCGCGTGGGCTCAACCAGGCAGCAGGTGAACCCGACGCACTTGGCCCAGACAGAGTCCACGGCGACCGTGGAGTCGCCGGCCCTCATGGTGCTAGAGGCAGCTGATGTCTGTGCTCGGACAGTGTGGACTTGTGTGACAAATGTCAAACATCTCTTCGGCAATGCCCATTTGGTCCTAGTAGTTGCCTTCAATGCTGTGATGCCGCGCCCTGACACATATACTCTGATCAAATAGTAATGGCAATATCTCAGGCACATATTATACTGCCAAACATAGTATATATATATTTGCAAGCTAATAGCCATGGCCTCCAACCCAATAGCGATGGCCTCAAACCTAGAATACAAAGAACAAAAGAGATAAATTGAAGGACTGCCTGCTGAAATGGTTCTTTGCTTCCCAACTGCCTTCTCAACCTCGACAACACTTGGTTTGTTTCGGCTGGAGGTTGGGAAGCGCCCTTTCTTCGGAAAGGGACAGACCTGGTCAGTGTTGACACCAGCTCCTCTGAATGTCCGAACACCTACGGAACGGACCTACAAAGGATTGCAACGGTGGCTATATCTTGGGTTCATGCACCAGATTGGTGGGTGGGTCCCTGCACCAAACCCAGCGAAAAAAAATCAACTGCATTTTGGGTCATCCTTCAGCTCTGGGGAGGCGCTTTAGGGTCAGAATGAATGGAGACCCCTGCGGAAGTCAGATCCCAAATCCTGATGCACGTCTCCCAGGTGCAAGCAGGGTCTCAAACATTTCGAAGAAAACAGACCGTTCTTACAAATGAAAATCGGAGTTATAGTCACACTGGGCACTTGGAAGAACATTGGCAGTCTTGCGGAACTCTTGATATGTTCAGGTGGCACCCTGTTTGATACATGTTTTTGGAGGACATGATGAGTTTGATGCTGTTGGAAAATGAAAGCAAACACAACCTCAAAACAACATGTGAACGTTGCACGAGGGTTTCAATGAACAGGATTCCTTCCATCCACATGTAAAGTTATCTTTTGACTGGTGGTTGTTCGTTCCACTTGTATTTGTGCGATCTCCCCATTTTCAGACAAACCAAAATGAACGGCAATTGAAGAAACCCAACGTCCAATCCAACAAACGAACATATTGGGACATGTCTATAGTTTTGGGAGTGAAGGTGCGTCTCTTAAAAAATCAAAGACTCCTAACCCACTAGAATTTCTGGGGATGGCAACGCCAGTGGTCATGGTCTTATGACCATCTAAAATTCATTGGTTGATATTGACTGCGTCCGACGATCAAACCATATTCAACTCCACTTTGCACGAAGAAATTCAAACAACTAGAGAAACAATCCCATCACAGGTTGTGTCAAAGAAAATAAGATACGATGAAACCAATCAGTGCCACATTCATCAAACAAAACCATATGACATGAACCCTTGAGACGAACTGACCGTGAAACCCATCGAGTAAGTATTGGCCGCCGCTTCAACTGCTGAGTTCTCAACCGACTGGGCAGTCTGTTCAGACTGCATCAACAATGGAAATGCATCCTTTCACACCACTATAGGACACCATTTCCAACTTGGGCAAAATCGGATTCTATCAGCTAATTCAATGTTTGGAAGGGGTGCTCAATGTCTCCCAATTATGAGTCACACTTTCTCACCTGTGTGTTTTCCAAGATAATTTCAAGGCAACACATCGAAAAGTTGAAATGGAATGAAAAGCTCCAAAGTTCCAGATCCGATTTGGCAAAACCCAAACCTACCCAAGCTAGCAGAACATAGGGCGTCTTTTTCCCAAAAGCATTGGGCATGGTTGTTTTTCCAAAGGATCGGGGAGCGAGGAAACCCTGCCGCACTCAGCGTGGATGGCAGACTTGTGAAAGCAGCTTCTTGGAGACAGCTGGACGTCGCAATACCTCGGCGCACGGGCACGGGCTCACAGGAGGCCGACGGTCAGTCGACGATCCGGGCACGGATCGCCTTGCGGCAGGGTCGCAGGAGGCCCGGAGGCCAACGGTAACAGCTGACGATTTGAAGGCGTTGGGGGGACTTACGCGTTACGATCGGATCACGGGTAAGCTCTGGGAGCGGATGATGGAATAAGCGGGGCGATGCAGTCTGAAAAGGCTTGTGGAAGATGGTGGCAACGCCCCGGGTGCAAGTCGTAAGACCTTCCATCTTGGGCTCGCGGAGGGGGGTGGACCAGCGGTGGGTGTGAGCGTAGCAACTGCATCAGCGGATTTTGGAAGGATAGTGGCAACGCGGCAACACGCAGGATTGCAAAAGACCTTGCAGAACGTGGTCGCTGAAAGGACCACGGATGGCCCAACGAAGGAGCCACAGAAGACCATGAGCGTCGCAACAAAGGCTACAAGGTCAAGGTGCGCACCAGGCGGCGCCGCGAGCAATGATGGACAGTTGAATCCTAGAGGCCCGTTCCTTGTGCAACAATGAGGCATTAGGAATTGGCTCTTCAAAGTCATAAGTGCCCAGCCGCCAAGAGAGCGGATTGCCCAGCAAGAGACTGTCCATGTGGAGACACTTCATCCTCTTTTTGGGATGCTTCGTTTTGCAAAGAGAAGCATTGCCGAGCAATGAGAGGATTCACGACTCCATCTTGGGCACCGGGCACCAGGCGCCCTGCTAAATTGAAATTGCATGCTTGGCCATGCAGCCCCCAAAAGCCACAAGCATGGCCGAGATCCTTCGCAGCACGAATGAGATTGCCAGAGAGGCTGATCGTCCCTTCCCCACAGGTTCTCGAGAAACGTTGGAGTCGACTAGAGAACAGAATCAGAAGCGCAGCGCTCCTCTCTTGGCAACTCTCTCAACAAGCTTCTCCACGAATTTCAGCTCTAAGAGGTTGATGTGCTGGGGCTGCTTGAAGTTCCAACTGTTAACCAAAGACCAGTGGCTGCCCTGCATGATCTCATTGATAAATTGGTTCTCCAGTCCCTCAACTGGCTTTTTCCAAGACAGGACACCGCTCCTGCCTGGCTCAGGTGGCCGGCTTTCCCGCTCGTTTCCTGCCTGCGGCTCGGGCGGCCTCTTAAGCCATGGCTTTGCAACTTCGAATCGTCGATCGCAACTCCATCTTCGAATCTTCGACCAATTCAGATTTGCCATCGCTCACTCCGATCTTGAGCCTTTTTTGTCTGCCTTTGCGAGGGCACGCCCTACTCTAGCGTCTTCCACTGGCAGTCGTGCTGTTAGGCGGTTAACTTAAAAATTGGTTGGTATCCTTGCTCACACCCTCTCCCGCTTACACTTGGTAATGTCAATTTGGCGACTACTCTTTGCACCTTGCCATCGTGTCCGGGCTTACTCCACCCCATTCACTTCTCGCCGCTCATGCTGTAGCAAAGGGCAACAGTTGTTCTGAAGATTTAACACAGCAATGCGTTTCAGATGAAATTGAAGGGGCTAGAGTCCTATATGTTTTTCATGATAAGCTTCATGTCAAATTTTGCACTTACTGGAACCAAGTACTTCAAAACCTCGTGCACGAGGCTTCTACCGAGCTTTTAGTGGACTTCAACCATCTTCATGTTCATTTTCGTCTATGCTGTGTCTCCAAACTCTGCTCCGGGCACGTCAGACAGCACAGCTTGTGGGAAAAGAGCGCGCCCATGTTTCGCGTTTTTCGCTCTTGGGCTCTGCAGGATGGCAGTGTTCCCCGCCGGACCTCAACCAGCACACAACCACAATCACAGCACACAACCCGAGGACCAACAAACACAAAGTCGAGAACCGCAAAACTCACGACCATGGCAACATGCTCCTCACCATGGCATGAAGACGTCATGGTGGGGATCACTCGAAGTAGAGTATTTAATGTCTAAAATGAGCTTCCCCGACCGATCACTCTCGGCTACTTTGGGGGAGTGTGTATACTGCAAGATCTCCGCACAAAAAATTCTTGATGGCAATGACATTGTGATGACCGCGGGACGAGCCACCAAAACTCAATCGGGCGTAGATGCGATACAATCTTATTGTTGCGAAGATAAATGCTGCTCCGCGCTCTTTGGCAATATTTTTGCTGATACAAATATTGCGAAAACCCTAATGAAACATGTTTTCAGTCCATTCAGAAAAAACATGTAAAAATGAACGGGGAACCTTCCTGGTAGCCCCTCTGCAATACAGCCAAGACTCCTTCCTTGTAAGAGTGTTTGAGTGTCTACAGAGATCCCGAAATGTCCATTCCAAAGAACCTTTGAGCAGCGAGGAACACTCCTAATCTCTGCCTGGTTTTGGCGTCCATTGAACCGGCAATCAACAGGTCTGGAATGTTTCTCATGTCTCAGCAGGTGCAGGCGTGCCTCGAGAATGCTCAATCTCCATAAACACAGGCACAGCCACGTCCCTCTGACAGGCCATAAGCCATAAGTGAAACGGAAAGGGCGGAGGGCGCTGGCTCAAACCTTGGGGGTTGCATCTGGTGTGGAAAAACAGTACATTTCTGCCTGGGAAAATTCTAAAGAAGTGCAATGCAAGGTTTGAACAGGCGCATGAGTCAGCTCAGTAGCGCACGAAGAAATAATAAAGGTTGCTCGGTGAATCGGTAGAAACCCATATGAATCACGATGAATCCTCTGTGTGTGAGCTTTGTCCAAAACGAGGATATCCTGATATCCTGGTACCGTGTGCTTGTTTGAAGTCCCCCAAAATGTGTGAGAAGGTCCCACTTCATTGTCATTGCAATATGGTGGTCGGCAACATTAGTAGCACTGAAAGATTGCCCCATGAAACCCAGATGAATCAGCTCTTACCAACACGTCGGGTGCTTCCTTTACAGGAAAATGGTCTCTCAGTGAGCATTACGCGATCTCTCTCCCTCTCTCTATCTCCATCTCCATGCTACTTTAAGACTAAAGACCTGTGAAAGTCCAGTTCAAAAATTGCAACGCATCAGAGCATGGCAAAATCAAATAAGCTTTTGGCACCACCTTTGCCATGCAGATTATAAGCTGCACACAGTTTCAGATGTGCGAGTCTTCAGGGGCAACAAAGAGTTTTCCATGTGCATCCCTTCAACCAATTGACTCCTAAGTGACTGGGCACCGAATCTCCAAGTTCAACATGCATCTCATTCTCGAGCGACAGCTGTTGCAACAGCTGATCTGGCAGATCTCA